CCCAGGAAGTAAACACTGCTAAGGTCTTTGGTGGATGTTAGAAGGGAGCATACAGGAGATAGAGGCAGGGTTGTCTGGGGAGGGGTTTGGACTATAAAAAGGAAACAACACCATTTCAAACCCGCTTTTCTCCTCACGATTTCAATTTCCTCCATAAGATGTCCATAAAAAAAACACATTTTATACAGTTGATTTATAAAGTTTAAACATATTAATTGAAATCAAACACAAAAGTAAAAGATTTATATTATATTCAATAGAGGGAACAGTTTCTAAAGGTTTTGAAAATCTGTTAGTTTTTCTTTATGTTAAAGCAAGTAAAACATATGAATACTAAATAATAACCAGAATAAATGCTAAAAATTGCCCCAATCGTCCCTTAGATAAGGATGTGTTTGTGTGCATTAAGGCCAATTTATACTTCTGACGCATAGCCTCTGCGACCGTCAAATCTGTCTCTGTGGCTCTGCAACCAAGCCCCCCACGCAGACGCTCTGCAACCGTCGTCGCGCACCTCAAAAAAATCCCGACTACACGTCAGACCTTTGATAATCTCAAGCGGAAGTGCACAGACAAAAAGCAGCTGTGACTGATCCTTGGTGTGCCTTTCCGGCTGTCTGTGTGGTTGTCCTTCTCGATTCGGCGCCGGGGCGCGCCATATTTAAAAATTGAGGAGTAACAACAACAATGGATAACCACGACGAAAGGTTGATCGAGGAAGTTCGACAGTACAACCAATTGTACGATGCCTCAGACAACGTTGTTTGGAAAATAAACACTCGCCGGCTTCGCCGAAGAAGTTCTCGTGACCATCCTCAGACGTTATCGCGAGTTCTTGAATAGGCTCCCCCTATCGCTTTCGCGGGAAACTGCTATGCATCCCTAGAAATACCAGACCGACGTTGCAGAAGCATACCAGCAAAACTCGTTCACGACCAGAGGCAAACGACATTTGATGTGTGTGGTTGCAGAAGTATAACCCGCCCATTAGTGCGTCTCTGATGGACTGGTGACCCTGCCTCTCACCCAGTGACTGCCTGAGATAACTCAGACAATCCTGTTAATGATTCAGCCCAAAGCAGGTCTTCCTTTGGCAGTACCAGTAAATAGCACGGACAAAACCAACACAGAACTGCTTCCCTGCTTCATAAACTAACTTCCTAACGAGGAAAGTAGTAAAGCAGTAAAGCTTCACTGCAATCAAATCTCTCCCACACTGCTGTACGTTGTACTAACGAGCTGGCCAAATAAAGCAGACGAGAGCAGCAGAAACCAGTGGTTCCCTTAAACTGGGAGCATCACTGTTACTGGTGAACTGATCTAGAATTACCTGCTGCGTGAGAGGAGTCCAAACATGGGAATGTTCATAGCAGGACCATTATTTCGCTGATCTATTAATTTGTTAATTATTTTTTTAAGGCTTTAGGTTTTTTTCACAGAACTTAAACAAGGTGAACCTAAAACGAAACCTTGCTAAAAATGTTAGCATATTTAGAGTATAGAATAGTTCATTACTACCACTATGTATGACACAGTAAAAAACTGTCACCTTTTCATATCAAACAAAAAAAAAAAAACTGCCGTACTAGCACTCACATATAAAGCAAGCCGTGTTGTGTGATGGAAACTAATAAAAAGTGCCCCCCCATTGCTCTTATGTAGATATCCATTTTTACGACCACAGTTGGCAAACTATGAGCTGTAGCTTGGTACGAAGCCAGCTGCAGACTGTCTGGCCACCTAATCAACCGGCTGATACGGAGAAGAGGAAAACAATATGTGAACTCTGCATGGTCGGCACATCAAAACTGCTGCTTACTGTATGAATTCTCAACAATGCAGGCTTTAGATATAATTTTAAAGATAACAATTAACCAGAAATATGATTAGGAATCTAATTATTTCAATATTTTACTAACAGCATAATGAGGTATTTCTGTTTTCACTGGAGGCAACTTGATTATCCGACACATTTTTATTTACATGTATGCATAAATACTACAACATTGTGGTACTTTCATTGAAGATTTACCTTACAATGTAGAGTTCAAATCAACTGATTTAAAGCATAAAATGTCATCTAAAAAACATGTCCAAAACAAAGGATAAATTAATCAAAGTAAGTGTTTAAAATCTTTTTTTCTGGATGCTTTTCAGTAGTTGATGTTGTGTAGCAACTGTTTTGTTTTTTCCACAAAAAATAATGAAAATCCGACGACTGTATTAACCTCTATTGGATTCGCACCATTATCATTAGATGTAAGTTTTAGATTCTAATTGAAGTTTGAAACCAGCGTAAAACAAAAGTACAACAAAAAAAAAGATTTAAAAAAAAAATACAGTGCATGTTTTTCTTGTCTCCAAGATTGTTAAATCCTGTGGAAAAAATTTCCATAACCAACTGGAACAAAGAAATGTTTTGGGAAGATCTTCCATTCCCATTTAAGTCTAAAGTTATTATATACACACAGATACACGCTTGAGTAATGGAAATGAATTTTTTCCACAACCATTTGCAAGTGAAAACTCATCACGTCCAGCTGCACTTCTTCAGAAAGAGACAATAACATCTCTAAACTATGAATAGCTCTTTTCTCCCGTGAGCAACAGACTCAAAATACTACAGGTACTTAAAATAGTTTGGTTCCCAAACACACACTGGCATGAAATGAGAGGGGGAAATGTTGCCATCTATCAGCACTATTGCCTATTAATGGAACGTTTACATATGAAAGATTTATCCCCTGCAAAGTCACATATTAGTAACTGTTTTTCACCTTAAATCACACATGTCCATGCAAACAACTATCCCAATGTTAGAAAAGAAAAAAAACAAAACTTTAGTGTAACCTTGCTTTCTAATAATTAAGTTATGGATAAGGGATGTTCTGTAGATGTACAAAGATTAGAACACTTTGAAAAGCAACATACAAGGGAAAAAATTTGAAAATTCAAATATATTGCCTCTAAACCTTAATATTGTCCAAAGTAGGGCTGAAACAATTCATCTGATTATTTGTGATTTATTGATTATTTAAATGATCGTCAATTAATTTAGTAGTTGATTAATCGTTAACTGGAATATATAGACTGTGAAAAAATCCTTTAGCTGACAGAGCGACCCACTTACAGCAGTTATATTAAAGTTAGTTAAAAAAAAAAACCTTTTTGCATTTAGGATTTAAAAAAAAAAATCATTTTCCTGAACAAAAAATGTAAACAATTGATATAATTGATTAATTGTCCAGCTTAAGTTTCCACCTGGAGCAAATATTGGGAATTACCGTACTACAGTTCAACTGATTGTATTGAATAAATTGCACTGCACCTCTTAGGTGCCAAATGATTTAAATCTAATTTCAAGTAGGGCAAAAACAATTAATTGGATCAATCATGATTAATCGATTATTTCAATAACAATGAACTAATTTAGTGATAGATTAATCGTTAATTGGAGTATAGAGACTATAAAATATGCCTTTATCTTAAAGAGTAACCCACTTAGAACAGTAATTATACCAAAATTGTAAAAAGAATATGTAAACATTTTGCATTTTAGATAAAAATCTTTTTCGTCCGTCAATATGCTCTATTCAGAACAGAATTTTTTAAGCTTCACCTGGTTAATTTTGCCTACTCAACAGATTCCACACATTCTATTTATTAAACAGATTTTCCAGTTACCAGTGCCCCATGGAAAGGAGATCCCATCAAAATCCTCATAATATCAGCGTGTGCAATTCTCAGAGAAATGTCAAAAAGCCACATCTCAAACTCAACAGCCTTCAGTTAGAATGTTAAATGTTTAAATTCACAAGTGGACATGTAGATGATGAGAGGACAAGCATGGCATGTTGGTAAGAGTTGAATGTTAAAGCTTTTTCTCTCTTAACAGCAACTAAGATTGCAGCAAAACTAAAGTTTGCATGGCTGGACGTGTATGAATCACAAAACTTCTAAAGTAGAGAAGTTCGGCTATAATGCAAAGCACCAACTAAGGCAAAGTCTAAGTCTTTTATTCTGAATATGAACAACTGATGCATCATGCATCTAAAAAAACAGTGTGTTTATAACACAGTAATCAGGCATCTATGGTTAGTAGCTTCAGATGATTCTATTCATATGAGACTGTGTTTATCAGAGGGCCTTAATATGTAGCTCTATACCATTGATTCCAATAAAATAAGTCACCTAGTTGGGAATAATAAAGGATAATAAATCAGGCTGGAAGCTAAATATTGGCCCAAACAACCAATCACAACAGTACATTAATTTCCTGGGGCTGAAAAGGAACCAGGTGTTGAAATGACCCAGTCAAAGTCCAGACCTCCACCTAATTTCAACGCTGTGGTGTAATGTTAAGAAAGTGATGTAGAAACACATGTCTACTAATTAACTAAGGCAACGTTGGAAAGAAGATAGAGCCAAGAATGTCCAAAAATAATATTTGTCACAGTGCTGCAGAAGGTGGTTTTTGAGGAAGATCATTTAACTGTGATCACAAAAACAATAAAACCATAAAACACAAAGGTTGTGTACACAGGATGAGTGAAATGGGAAGTGTGAGCACTTCTTTATGCAAATAAATTCAACATGATCCATATTTTAATCAGCATGTGAAGAAATGCTGATGTTTATTGTTTAAAAGGACACTTCCAATAGAGAAGTTGTTTTACCAGTGAGCCAATGTGCAATCGGTTATTAACCTCATGTGCAGCCTTAACAGGGGTGCAGGAAATATCAGTCCCAGCGAGCACCCAGTAGGGACATTTCTCCTGCAGTTAATCCTAATCTGCAGACACGCTTCAAAGAGCCCCAAACTGCACTGTCTGCACTGCGTCTTAACTATTAATCAGGCCTGTCTGAAGAGCATCCACTGCCTCTTTTTATTAAAGGTGAACATTACATCAAGGTGTCTGATTTCTCAAGGGGAGATCGGTGTCAAAAGTGTGCATATGGGTGCAGGGTTACAGACACAGTCATTAATAAACCATCCTTACCAGTAGACTTTCCAGGTTTATGGCACATCGGGGGTCCTTGATCATGTCCTCCAGCCTCTTCAGGCGGTTTTCCATCCTCCTCTCGGCGCCCAGCGACATGGCTGAATAAAACAAAGTTGTTGTTTTTTTTCCTGGGAATTATTGGAAAGTTTCTCTCTGAACTGTGAGGACTTTACATGGGAGCCCCTCTTTTGTTCCTGGCTAACGGCTGGAGGCCTGGAGGAGCAGCACCCAAATAGCTCCAACAACTGGAATACTGACCAAAGGTAGAAAAAACTAAAGAAAAACAGTAGTTGAAAATATTCCAAAGAGATTTCCAGCGACTAGTCACCCAGGTAGTAATGATAGCTGGGAGTATTTTTCTTTCAACGACGTCGGCTTTGAAATGTTCACCTCCCGTTAAGTGAAAGATGCATATTTTCCTCAACTCGGTTCGAAAGTTTGAATTTGGAGACAGCAGCAGCAGCAACAGGCAGCAGGGCGTTTTCCCAGCGCCTCCCCCGCTCCTTTCCTCTCTCTGTGGGTTTCGACCGTTTGGAAATCCAGACTTTAGCAGAAAATTCCGCCATTCAACACAGTTCGAGTCTCAGTTTGTCCGCGCCGCTGTCTGAAGTCACCCGAAAAGCGGCTGTAATGTCCGTCCTCTGGTAAAAGAAGCGCTTCCCCGTCTGAGACTCTTCAAGCATTTTCTCATTTATCCTCCTCCTCGACCCGAACACGGCTATGGATGGACACAGAGGAGAGGAAAGTTTGGACTATCTTCTCCGTAGAGAGAAGCCCTCCTTCTGAGCACACTCCACATCTACTGAAGCTGAAGTCTCTCCTCCCCCTGACATTAACGGCAAGAACTCCATTTCCCATAAGTCCCTCTGCCTTGTCCGCCAACTCCAGTGTTTGAAGCTTCTAAACAGAATGCAGACGAACAGGTACACTTTTCTACGGAAGAGGATTAGGGTCACTGAAAAAATTTAAAAAGTTTACTGATTTTTACATTTTATTTCAGTTTAATATGGGAACAGAGAGTTCTGAGATTAAAGTCAGAATTCTGAGAAAAAAGTCAGAATTCTGAGATTAAAGTGAGAATTCTGAGATTATGGTTAGAATTCTGAGAAAAAAGTTAGAATTCTGAGCAAAAAGTGAGAATTCTAAGAAAAAAGTGAGAATTTTGAGATTAAAGTGAGAATTCTTGAGAAAAAAGTAAGAACTCTGAGTCATAATTCTGACATTCCTACATTAAAATCAGAATTCTGAGATTAAAGTAAGAATTCTGAGAAAAAATTGAGAATTCCGAGAAAAAAGTACGAGCCCCTCTGATGACATGGTCAAAAAAAAATTTTAATTGTGGCCACGAAGTAGTATTTCGTG